GATAAAATTTTTTTATATTATTCATTGTATTCGATTATAATATAATTTATTAGTCGTTAAAAATGTCCTACATTGAGTTTTACAGAGGGGGGAAAAACATTTACATTGTTAGAGACACGAACAGTTTATAAGATACACGCGCAAGTAGAATTCGTAATAAGGCACATTCGGTGTGTTCCTGTATAATAATTTCTACTGTTTATTTATTTTTTTTAATAAAAATTCCTATTAGATTGGTAAAAACTTGTAGAAGATTTTCGAATTTTCTGATTATCGACTGAAGGAAACACGTAAAGAACGTGTAAGACTGTGTGTTTCGGCGTGGGTAGAAATTGTTTAAACAATGTAATTTAACGAGAACGATTTTGTAGATCGGATCGTCTCGTTCTCGTTAAACATTTAACACGATTATAAATCTTAACAGCGCGTGTGGTTTTCCTGTCAGGACGTTCACACGACATTTTCTTCTTTCCCCCTCTTCTCCTCTTTTTAGATTCTCACACTAAGAAACGAATGTCCTGCTTTTCAGTCCTTTAAAAAAAAAAAGATTCTGTCTCGATTGATATACTTTTTATTTATTTTTTTAATATAAAATAAGCGTAAATACGTACCAATTTCTTATTTTTCTATTACTAAAAACGGATCCGATTATGTGAAATTCCTCTATTATTTTCGAAGGTATAATAGGAGAATTTTCGATTTTTTCCTGTTGCGGTTGGATCTAATCTATAATACTTAGACGTTTGATGAAGCATTTTAATTAAGCGATGCGATTGTTTGACCGGATGAAGACGATTTCGGGGTTAAGGACGAGATAAATGGTCGAGCCTACACAATCGTGAACACGCGATTGATCGATGTTGGGGGGAATAGTCACGAGGTATTCCCGCTGATCTTCTTCCCTTCCCCTCCCCTCCCCTCCCCCGTTGGTCCGACTGGCCGCACCTGCTGGCCATTGTTCTTCCGCCTATCGACTCGAAATACAAAATGGAATTGGGAAGAGGCGATAGGGATTTGGGTCAAACTAATTTGTCAGTTTTTATTATAGAGAGAGTTGCGACGGAAGAAAAATAATACGCGATCCATCAGCTACCCTCAGGACAACTTTTTGGGTGTGGAATCGACGGCCCAGATGTGTTTGCACAGCAGCAAATTACCATTTGAACTTCGACCAATCATTATTGTTTACACTTCTATAACCGGCTATCCCTATCAATATGCAAACTCGTCTCTACAATTCGGATTGATTTCAAACACTGCCTTAACAGTTAATTAATTATAATAAATCGAATGTCATTCTTATATTGGCAGCGAACGGAGGGGTGAATCTAATTGAAAAGTTTCTTATCTCGTCACTCTCCTAGGAGAGAGAGAGAGAGAGAGAGAGAGGGGTTAAATACTTCTTTTCTACGGTCTTTTGAATGTTGTCCCGCTAATCAAAAATAGCCAGATTCCAGCTAATTTATGAGAAGAGACGTGTAACCCCCTAACAAGTCTATCAATAGTTTGTTTCACTTTAAAATGTAACCTTTAATGGCTCTTGCCACTTTTCTTGTAATTGATTTAACGTTTTTTTTTTTTTGTTTTTCCATTGTTCTTTATCTAAACGTTCGGACGAGACAGCGGTCAATAAGATTATAGGGTGAAAAATCTGGTTCGACTCTTCTTGGGCAAGTGAACAGAAACATTTGTAATTGGTAACTCGAAGAGCGAAACCTTTTAATGGGTAGAGCGAAGCGCTGAGAACAAGTTAACATTGACACACATTACTGCATGACTAACAACTGAATTTTACCGCTTCCATCACTTCCAATTTAAGCAAAATTATTTAGATTAAAATGTTTTTTATTATTCCCCCCCTTCGCTATACAGAAGTATTTTAAAAATCACGCGATATAACGTTTCTCTCTCTCTCCCCCTCTGTCTCTTTTATTGAATTTTTAATCGTGTTTAAAAATGATTAATGGTCGCGTAATGCTTAATTTGTTAGAATCGTATTGTTGTTAAAAGTAATTTAAATGAATTATTTGTTAGTTAGTAAATTGAAATTAACCTGGAACGATTTTTGTAACGTTATAAAATCGCTGTCGGGAATAGTTTATCAGCCAGAGAAGGCTGTCGGAGATGGCCTATAAAAGAGTCTAGGTGGGGCCCCCTAACTGTCAGAAGACACCACCTCCTTAAGTAACCGCCAATTGTAGTTTGGTAAATTCTTTTCTGTTCAATATTCAACGTTCGTTTCTCAAACAGATTCCATTATAAATTTGAAAAAAAAGGGGAGAGAAAAAAAGGACTGTAGATGAGTAAAATAGATCCAGGTCGAATGCACCTCGACATTTGGGAGCTGTCGGTGAACGATAAAACATTCCAGCAGATACACGCGATTAGAGTAACATCTGGTGGTTGGTCCTCCTATTGGTACGTGTGAAAAGGGTCGAGGGACATCTCGCGGGGTCAGGCAAACGTCCGGAAGACGCCACGCACACGCCGCATTTGGAGGAAAACCGCTAATGACGTTCTGATGATAGACGTGACTTTTTCTCTTTAATCCAAGCAAACCGACGACGGAACGAGAAAGAAAGAGAGAAAGAACAGAAAAAAAAAATCAATTGCAGTCTCAGACACATTTCCGGCCTAACCTGGCCGTAAACTATGTGCAGTCTACTGCACCATAACGGTCTTAGAAGGAGGGTGGCAGGTGAGAGCTCGATACCTGACACTTCCTTACCGATAGCTCTATTTAGGCCATTATTTCGGACCCGGGGTCAGAACCCTGCACAAAGTGATAGCAGATGGCCCGGGGAGAAGAGGGGGCGGCGAAATGAAGACCCGCATTCACTCCCCAAACCCCTTTCCACTGCCCCCAAAAACTTATACATCAACTATTCTCCCCGGTGACGTGGAAGCCAAGTGGGTCCTGCTTTCTTTTGTCCCCCACGTGTCTGGAGGGGGTAGAATGCACCCCACACGGCGTCTCTAGCCTCCCACCAACAGAGTTCGGACGTCCCTGTGGCCGTGGATAGCCAATTACCTAGCAGCCTGCCAGCACGGCTGGCTGACCTCGGTGTGTTGATGACAAGCTAGGACGACTGGCTACTGTCAGTCCAGCGGAACTGAGGATCAAGTCCAGTTCTACCGCTCCGACCGCCAGCATGAAGTTAATGGATGTGATAGCTAGTGAGTTGATATCTTTTACCTACGGTAGCCGTTCGGGTTACAGGTGTCAGGTAAACGTCGCATACTCCGTCCTATCGCGCCTTTTACTATTGATAGATAACGTATTAATCGTAAACGAGATAAATGCTAAATAGGAATAATAATAGAGGCCCTTCTAATTTGGATCCCCATTCGAAAGGTAATTTATTTCGTTGGCTTCTATACCTAACATAACGTAAATTAAACGTTGTTTTGACCAGTAACTTTCTATACAGTTATTCGTTTTAACTTTGAAATTTGTCCCCCTCTCGGATCCGTTTTGTTTTTAGTTTTCTCCTTTTAAAAAATCAATAATTGTTTTATAAATCTAATAAAAGTAAACTTCGTAACTCTTTCTTATAATCATTTATCTACAACCTTGTAATTATAGATTTAATCTAAACGACTCTACCCCTAAGCTTATGTCTATAGAATCGATACACGCCAATAATTCATTATCTGCGATTTTTTCATTCCCTTCTTGGATTGTCTTTCTTTTGTTTCCTCCAAGAGTTACAGTTACGATAACAGTATTTTATTACCTCCATGCTTTTCATTGTTACGCTATAGATTCTTTCTAATTTTCTACATAATTTCCTCCGATCTATTAAGAAGACCCCTATCGATTCTAGCAATTTATTTAAAAGAATAACACTAATTTTATTTGTTTTTTTTTAAAGAATTAATAGGCCTATTTTCGTAGGTTAAAATGTCGTTCACGATCCCCAATACATTCTAAATTTTAGGATGTTTTGCAATATAACAATACGGAAATTTACTTGTCAAATTTTGGGCGTATCCGTCCCAGATATGATACGTCAATGCGAATAATTTTTGATTAACAATTAGAAAAATCAGATTAATCTATACATTTCATCCCATTACTAATCAACAAATTAGATTTGCCCTTAAAAAAAGTGTACATTTTTCAATATAAATTCTAATTTGGAGAGAAGAAACAATTCTTTTTTTTTATATATATATATTCTTAGAAATATATTAATAACTGAGAAAATTATTATTAAATAATTGATTTATAGAGGCCTAATTTTAAATTTATATAGGCTACTTGAGTACACATACACGTACTCGAAATAGGAACTATAAAAACCTTTACGTGTCGCCATTATTCTTTATTTAAAATATAATTTTCTCCGAATCAATAGTGAAAAATAGAAGAAATTTAGAATATAATGTTTATTAAAAAAACAAAATATTTTAATATAATCATTAGTAAAGATATAAAAAAAGAGAATTTATCCCTTAAAAAAATACTTCCTATATGAGAATTTTTCTATCTATGTGTGTCGCGATACGTGTGTATAATCTAATCATAATCATAGGTGGAATTTAGCTTAGCTGTTAACACTTTTAAAGGAGAAAATATATCGAAGAGTCGATTTATATAAAAGTCTATTGTCTTCAGTAATTAACCTTACCTAAGCCCCGGAGGAATAGGATAATTCTTCGTGTCAGAACTTCGACACATGGGAGGAAGATAATTTCCTATCCTTCCTTTTATAGTAGAAGGCATTATCAACAAGAGTTGTGCCGTCACGTCTCGCACAGACCGTTCTTTAAATATTGGTATCACTTTTATTAATGATGGCCCGTATTATCTGTGGATTCATCTATTGTTCCGGAGTGGCCAGCCAACGGGCAGATGGGAAAGAAAGGTAGTTGATATATTATACATAGATAACCATCTTGGACCATAGAAAATAGAAATGCGATTGTCCAATCAGTGAGAAGCAGATGACTTTGCTTAAAAGATGAAATAGTAAAACGTTTGTTATTCCTTTTAGGACTGAACGGCGGGGTTGGTACACCCACATCGTGGAGGTCTTCGGACACCCCTGATGACCAGTCCTTATCCTTGTCTCCTACCAGCTGCGCCACACCCTCTGATCCAGATACCGACCTCACCTACACCATTGGGGTGACAGAGAACACGCCCTACGCCTGCCAGTTTTGTGACAAGGCCTTTCCTCGTCTCAGCTACCTGAAAAGACATGAACAGGTAGGTATTTTATCACTGGGGGTTTTATCCGTATCCACTCGATGGTAGCGAGTATCGTAGGGTCGTAACCTAGAAGATCCATTAGATCTACTGAAAGGGGTCTGCCAATGGTCTTTTAAAAAATACTTTATGAATCAGAATGCGGGAACCTACCGTGCATAGTGGGTGGAGTAAGGACACGTTCTGTCAACTTATGACGTTTGGCTTTCCACTTATTATAGGGTTGTATAGCTTATTCTGGTCTTTGTCCGTTCACCCGGCTTTGGGTTGCTTTCTGAATACTTTAACCTGTTGCCAAAACGTGTATATCTAATTAAACAGATTAGGTTTTGAAATTTGAATATTTCTACGATATAATTCGAGCGTAACGCGTGTTTTACGAATTAGTTAAAAACAGAGACGGTTAGAGAAGATAGGAAAATTCACTTTAATCGTAGTTAATCTTGAAAAATTGATTGTCTTAATTATATTTGTAATTATAAGTTCTGATGACGCGGGCCTGTTTATATGTATTCTGGAGATTCTCGTTCGAATGAAATTATTCCCCGAACGAACAACGCATTAAGTAGTCTGGAGCAAGACGGACTGGTGTTGTTCACAAATGGAACTAAAACTTTGGATAGTTTGTTTTATCGATTGCTTTTCGGAAGTACACTAATGTTGGCCCTAGAGGATATGTTGGAGAACGAAATTTAATTATCGTGGGACAGAAAGTGGTGTAAATCACAATTAAAATCACTGTGACAAAATATTGCAGCGTGTGTGAGGGTGCACGTTTCCACTTATGCTACAGGTGTAAGCCTTTTACAGAATTAGCCTCACTCCCCTTGGGAGCTAGTCAATTAGTAAAGGACGTCATACAAAAGTAGCGCTTCTTCTAACGACGCTCTCTAAAGTGACAAGACGGAGAAGGACTGGAAAATCAGATATTTAGCTTTTTACACGTTGAATCAATTAGTAGCGGAGATGGTTACGAAGATACGCTTCGGTATTTCCTTCGAAAATTACACATATAACTTTAAGTTAAGGAAAGAGTTGGCGCTATCGATTTAATGTCCACTCCCCTGTATATATTTATTTAAGAAAAATATACGTTTCGTTTCAGATTCACAGTGACCAGATGCCGTTTAAATGTGACTATTGCCAGAGATTATTTAAACATAAGAGGAGTAGAGATCGTCACATCAAACTACATACGGGTGACAGAAAATACCGATGTCCTCATTGCGAATCGGCATTTTCTCGTAGCGACCATTTAAAGATTCACTTGAAGACTCACGACAATGCAAAACCTTTCCAATGCACCGTTTGCAACAGAGGTTACAACACAGCAGCTGCTCTCACTTCCCACATGCAAAACCACAAAAAAGAAAGCCAAGCCGGACATAGTCCCTTCCGTTGTCTCCAATGTTCTGCTTCTTTCACTAGCTCCAGGGATTTACAGGTAAGCATCGATACCACTGTCTTTATATATATATATATATATACAATAAACTGCTTAACCCCTTAGGGTATATCGACAAATGTTACTTTTACGAACGAACCATTTATCACGAATCTTGTGTAAATCGTGTTTTGTAATNCAGAGATTATTTAAACATAAGAGGAGTAGAGATCGTCACATCAAACTACATACGGGTGACAGAAAATACCGATGTCCTCATTGCGAATCGGCATTTTCTCGTAGCGACCATTTAAAGATTCACTTGAAGACTCACGACAATGCAAAACCTTTCCAATGCACCGTTTGCAACAGAGGTTACAACACAGCAGCTGCTCTCACTTCCCACATGCAAAACCACAAAAAAGAAAGCCAAGCCGGACATAGTCCCTTCCGTTGTCTCCAATGTTCTGCTTCTTTCACTAGCTCCAGGGATTTACAGGTAAGCATCGATACCACTGTCTTTATATATATATATATATATATTTTCTTATAACTCCATACTACAATATATACAATTGAAATTTAAAAAAAAAAATTAAATTTAACACTATAATAATTGATATTTATAGCCTGTTTTGTAACTAAATCGCGATCGATCGTTAACCATAAATTGCATGCATTGAATATCATCTTAAGCATGGGAGATGTTAACTACTTCTGTCATTGATTTAACAAACAGTAGGCCTATAAAGTCACGTTGACAAAAAGCCATTTTGACACTTTATTTATTCTCCACTCTTCATTTGCATTTTAAAACACGCTCAAAGAGAATTCTATATATATATATATATATATTTTTTACATTTTATTTATTAAAAATTAGCTTATATAAAATGAAAGAATGGTGTTTCTTAAATTAGTTTCCACGTATCCATTTATTTTTCATTTTAAAATATTGTCTACGAGTCTACTTAGAGATTGATCATCGTTTAACGAAATTTAACCGTGTAGTCGTTAAACAGAAAGAGAAAAACATGTTATTTGTAGTAATTATGCAGATAATTCATATAAATAATGTATATACAGCAATCAGAAGCCGATATTAATACAAATATATAATTTTTTTTTTTTTTTCTTTCCTCTTGGATTTATTGCTGGATGAGGATCGAAATAAGTAGTGTGAAAGAGTGAGTTGAGTGGCCTCGAATTTCTTTAAAACTGTAGAGCAGCATCATTTTATGGTAGAAAATGGTAGGGTAAAGCATTGATGGCAGACAGATATGAAACACGCAATAGCTACACCCACTAAATAGGCATTCCCTCCGCCCTAGCCCGAAGCCGGTCCTTCGTGTCTAGATAATGTTAAACCAAGTATGCAGCTCGATAGATGGTATACCAGAATGAAGAAGCGTTTTTAATCTATTCCGCTACGGGTAAGAAAAAGAAAATTAATGAGAGAAGTGTGACAGGTGTTTGCGTGTTTGACAACACAAAACTGTTCCGAAGAGCTAATGGTGCAAATTTTAGTGCGACCGGAGCCAAACTAATATCAATTAGAAAAGAGACCACCCGGTAACTGAAATATGTTATAGGGGTAAAAAAAAAAAAAGACGGGTACCCGTATCGATTTTATATATAAAATTCGGTGGCCCTCACGCTACGAAATCGTCCAGTTCAACGTACTTTTTTACTCCCACACATCTTCCTTTATCCACGTTGCAACCGAATATACTCCCACACTGAGTGCAAGGTTGATGCTTTAAACGTTGTTTACGGCAATTTCTCGGAAGTTGCAACCTCTTAACTGCCATTCAACAGTAGCTGCAACTATCACGATCAAGATGCAATTTGAATAGCTATTTGCTACGGTAATTGTTTCATTAGCTGTGCAAATTTATTGTGTGTCTGAGAGCAAAGATAATATCCAACAGACTTAAACGATCGAAACTTCTTTGATTATTAAAAAAAAAGGATTTTTATCAATAAAAGAAATGGCAGAAATAATATATCATTTTAGTATAATTTAACAATTTCATTGGGAAAAGAAAAGAAAACGATTACCTTAAAAGCATTAACCATTTATTCCATTCAGAATTGGAATAGATGAGGTTTTCTAATTAGGTGTGTGCGGGGATGATAAAAGCTTTTCTTTAATTAAGATATTTAAAAGGAAGAATGAAAGGATGAAAAATCTAAAAATTCAATTTCCAGTGAAAAATTAAGAATTTTGAATTTTTAATTATGATGAAAGTTATTACGGTTAATCAAGAGAGATTCTTTGTGTAACTAATAAGTTGAATTTCTTTTACAAGTTACCAACTAATTTATAAGTTTAATGAATATAACGACTTCATCCCTCATTTAAATAATACTAATGATAACGTGGATCATTGAGAAATTAGAAAATTTGTATATTTTTTTATAAACGAATCTTGAAGAGAATTTAAAGTAATGGTGTTTAAAGATTGTAGCGGAAAATCATCCGGATGAGATCTCAAACAATATCAAATCCTGAATTGGTAACAAGATCACTGACCCTAAACACACTCCACCCTTCACTAACGGTCCGTGGCCAGTACGGTAGTTCTCACGTTACCCAATAATTATGTGAAAATCAATACAGACCGACCAAAGTAGCTCGGGCAATTTATTAGTAATGACAGGTTTAGCTAGTGGCGAAGGCGTAGAGCCTTTTGGCTCGACTCAAACACATTACAAGAGAGAGGTACGAAGCGTAACGAATCAACTATAGTCAAGAAATCCCGAGTGACAACGAATCTTTTTTTTTTTTAATGCCAAACTACTCTCCGAATTCAAAGCCCTCCATTGTAATAACCATGATTCTGTTTCGTGACTATAAGATGTAAATTTATCGCTTTCTCCGGAAGAATATAGTCACGATAAGAGACGTAGTCTTTCACACCTGTGACTTGCCACCGTTGAAACACTTCGCTTGCCGCAAAAAAAAAAAACGTTAAAATAACGCCTGGTGGAGTATCGGGTGATAATTTATCTTTAACTTATGATAAAATAACACTTTGAATCTTTTTTTTTTATTTTTATTTTCAGCATCATATCAACACTCACAGAGAAGACAGTTCTTCTCCAGCAGATAAATCTTGCCAGTGTGCCTTTTGTCCTCAATTTTGTCCTACACCAAACACTCTTAAACATCACTTGGAACAAGTCCATCCTGTCGAGAGTCAGGGTAGATGTTCTATTTGCCAGGAAACATTTTTATCGTTAGAAGCACTGAGTCAACATAGAAAGGTAGGTTTTCTATAATTGGCAAGTGCAATGTCATCAATGTTGCGTCCTGTCTAATTGAATCGGAAACCTATACTTATAACTCATTACACTCGAGAAAAACTTAATGGTAGCTCGAGAGATAAATAAAGAAAAACATGATAAAGTAATTCGAATCATTAGAACAACTAAAATTAATTTCTTTTTTTTACAAAATAAATTTAATTCTGGTAATCATAAAACAGAGATATCTAATTAAACTTTTCTTTCCTTTTCCAGCTGCATAAGGAAGAACCGGAACAAGTTAATGGACTCAACAATATAAACTTTACATGTAGCTTATGCAATAAAGGCGAATTTAATAATTTCGAAGAACTCCAACTACACGTGCAATCGAATCACATTAATGAACAGTTAACAGATCCTAGTATAGTTCACTGTCCTCCATCAAGAATCGACCAGGCTGGCAATTTCGACTGTGAGTATTGTACCATGAAATTTTCTTCTGTTCAAAGTTTACAACAGCATACGTTAACGGTGCATAGTTTCACGGATGTGTTGTCTAAATGTAGAGAAAACGTTTATTGTTTCCAATGCAATATGGTATTTTCGAGTGTTGCAATGCTCACTGATCACGTTCGCACTATCCACGAAACTGGAAGTGTGCCTTTGAAAACAGAACCTGTCGATCATCCCATAACTAATGGAAGGAAGAAAGCTAAAACAGAACACGTTCTTTATAACGGTGCTTCTCAATTCAACAATCCTAATACTTTACTCTGTAGCCAGTGCAATGCAGCATTTCCCGATTTCGAGTCGTTTAGAAACCATTTGAAGACTCACTTAGACGTGATCAAGTTCTCTTGTACTGAATGTGACGGAGAGTTTGGTAGCGAAGAACAACTCGATAATCACGTGATTACCCATTTTCTCTCTACCAGTACAGAATATGGTTGCCAGTGTTGTTTAAAATTATTTACTAAACCGGATGAATTGCAAAAACATCTTATGGATATTCACGCTCATCATCTGTATAGATGCGCTCTTTGCAAAGAAATGTTTGATTCTAAAGTTACTATTCAAGTTCATTTTGCTGTTAAACATAGTAATGAGTGCCGATTGTTTCAGTGTACCACATGTAATTCTGTATTCAGAACCGAAATGGAATTCCAACTACACGTTAAAGTTGCTCATTTATCAAAACACCAACCTTTCAGGTGTCTCTTATGCGAATTGTCTTTTCCTACAGAATTGCAGTTACAATATCATCTTCAGAGTCATAAAAAGCAATTTGTGTGTACACTTTGTGATGAGGCTTTCCATGTTGAATTTTTGTTAGATCGACATTTGCAAACTCGTCATTCTGGCGAAACCATGGCTTCAACGGATCCACAAGATATTGATGATAATGTACAAAATCTGAGCTTGAAAACAAGAACGAGACACGACACTACGTCTCCGACTTCCGATCACAGAAAAACCATTCGTTGTGAACTGTGCGATAATACATTTCCATCAGATTCATCCCTGAGCACACATCGTAGACAAGTTCACAATGTCCGCACTCAGAAAACAGGACAAAGTGCAGTCAGTTTGTTTTGTGCTTATTGTAACGAGTCGTGCAAATCGAGAACGGAGCTGGAAAATCATATGAAATCTCACACTGTAACTCCCAGTAAACATAAATGTAATATCTGTGATGAGATCTGTCCTTCTGCTACCACCTTGGCCGAACATAAATTGACTCATTGTAAAGTTGTAACAGGAAGTACATGTGTGGTATGTAGAGTGGTTTTAAAATCGGAAGAACAATTTTTTGCTCATGTTCAAAAACACAACAGTGGTTTACCCACTCCATGCGTCGTTTGTCGACAGACATTAATGTCAGATGTTGAAGTGCAAATCCACGCCAGGTTTCATTTGAAGAACTGCGAGACACTCTATTCTTGTTGTGTGTGTACTAGACAATTTGAAGCCAGCAATCTTATAATCACAGGAAAACACGAAAGTATGCATACTTACATGTGCAAAGATTGTTTTCACAGCAAAACTGAAGATCTTCGTTGCTCAGAATGTCAAGTCAAATTTGAAAGTATTTCGGAACTAGAGAAACATAAACTTACTCATAAGAAAACATATCAGTGTATTAAATGTCAAATGTCTTTTGAAACCGAAGGAGAGATTCAGTTACACGTTGCGACTCACGTTCTTCAAGAAGGAACCAATCACGAATGCAATCTGTGCCACAAAGTTTTCGATTCTCCAGCCAAACTGCAGTGTCATTTGATAGAACACACGTTCGAAGGATGCTCCAGTTATGCGTGTTACATTTGCAGTTCGGTCTTTACCACACCTCATCTCATCCAATCACACATGTTAGATCACGGACTCAATTCACGACCTTACGATTGCAGCCAATGCCATCAAAGATTCTTTTTTCGTGCAGAATTAGAACATCACGGGATAGCACATAGTCACTGTAATCAATTGCAGTGTCCCGAATGTAACAAAGTCTTTGCAAATTTTGTCAATCTAAACAATCATCGAAAAATTCACGAACAAAAAGGAGGAACTTTGAAGTGCTCTTTATGTCCGGAAGTGTTCTACACGTCGGCCGATATGCAGCAACATCACTTCAGGTGTCACAGCGATACTGATCTTCACGAAGGAAAGAAGTATTTCCCGTGTACGGAATGTGAAAAAGTATTCCCTTGTATGAGCAATCTTCAAGGTCATATGAGAATCCATACGCAGGGAACTAAATTCATTTGCCCACAATGTAATAAAGAATTTGCTCTTTCGAGGAATCTCAATATCCACATGCGATCCCACAGTGGAGAAAAACCTTACGAATGTCCAATCTGTAAGAAACGATTTGCCAGAAAGGAAAACAGAAAAGCTCATTTAAAATCGCACACGGGTCTTAAACCGTTCATGTGTCCTCATTGCGGAAAAACCTTTTCCAGAAAATGTCACGTGAAAGAACACATGAGGATTCACATAACTTCCACTACTCATCCATGCGAAATGTGCAGTGAAACATTTTCTTCCACACGACAATTGAGACGACATATGGTGAATGCTCATCAAAAACATTACGATCACGTGTGTACCGTCTGCGGGGACGTATTCGAACACGCCAAGAGCCTCGATCATCATCTCCAAAAAGCTCATCAAGTACTGACAACATGCGTGGAAGACAATTCGTTAGAGGAGATGTCGGAGTCATCGCCGGGTCAAAGTTCGTCTTCTGGTGACTTGAAAGATCTAGAAAGTAGCGAATGCAGTAGTATGTTAGAAGAAGGAGCGGAGTCACCCGTTTCTGTCACTGATGATAGTGTAGTACCCCCGGCCGAGGCGTCCAGTTAAATGTCACCAAAGCGATCATCACCAGCTGCCTTGTGTCTCTTTTTTGTTGTATATATATATATATATAAAAATATATATAAATATAACTATTTATACACTAGGTGTATATAGAACGGTTTACAAAAAAAAAGGGCTTCCTCATCGTCGTTTATGGAATTTTTTATTTATGTATTTATTTTGGAGAATTATAAACGCGATGTTATGGAAGATAACTAAGAAAACCCCCCTCGTGTGCACCATTTTTACCCAACTGCACTGTTCGTGTTAAAAACACACACACAAACACACAAAAAAAGCCTCGATACTGTTTGCAAATTTTAAACATTTATGAGAATGTTTCTATATCCAGTCTGTTGCGTATCGTTGCAAAACACACTTTAATTTATTCGGCCCTCAATAAAATGTTGAAAGATCGAGTTGAAAGTCAAAATGTTAAATTGTCAAATGGACGATAATCTCTTTCGAACCTCTTAACACGGGAATATGGTTTTTATCTTCGATTCTATCTTTTCAATCAACCAAAAAAATTGGAATCACATTCCTTAATTTTGATCGAAAATGTAAATGTTTAATGGTTTTTATATATTTTACAGAGGGTCCAAGAAAAGAATGTGTACAATTTTTAAACCTGTTCGGAAGAATAAATTCAAGTTTTCAGAAATTCCAGTTTTGATTTCTTTTCTACACAGGAGGATCTTGTGTTGGCTTGAGATTTCTTAATTTTAACAAAGAAATTTATATTCTATTGCTTATATAACTACAAGTCGACCCCCCTATAACGCTGTTGATAATTCCGTTTTATATGAATTCCATGTTGTACGAGTCATTTAAATTTTACAAATACGTGAACCGTTCACAGCCCAGCACACATATTTGTAAAATCTAAGTGACTCGTATAACATGGAATTCATATAAAATGGAATTATCAACAGTGTTATAGGGGGGTCGACTTTGTACATTCTTTACGTTGTATGAAACTCCCTAAAAGTTGAATCCTCCGGGCCTTATTAGTACTTGTACACGCCTTTCTAACGCGAAAAAAAAAATTTGAAAGATTAAAATCTATATTTTTATACCATTCACGTAGCTCATTTGATGTTAAATTATATAAAGTAATAATTACACGTATAAAAGTTGCAATAATGCATTTTCAATATTGATAATCTATAAAGTCTATACGATAGTCATTGATAAATATAATATTCATGTTATACGCCACATAAAAGATTCATTAAAATCTTCTAAAATGTTTAAATATTAATGCTTAAGTATGACCACAGTTCCAAATAATAGGTAATACGTATCCTGAATGCCATTTCTTTTAAAGCAAGGTCTATATAAGGTCAGGACACGCGTGACCTACTTCTTGAGCCGCCATTTTGGGGCTTGTACGAGCAGTCAGTTTTATACGACATTAATTAAATTAAAATTGCATAAATCCAATGATTTCTAGTCGAAAATATAATAATAATTTCGGATGATTACTCAACCCCAGTTTTATGTAACGTTTTCATCAAATACAGTAGANTGATGTTAAATTATATAAAGTAATAATTACGTGAAGTATTATATATATATATATATTTCCTTTTAGTAGAATGTCCGACATAGCTGGAAGGATAAAACATTTGGTATCATCACGTTAACTCATCGTCTAGTCACGTTTGTCTAATATTTAAAACTGCCTTTTTGTAGTCCAATTGTAAGAAGTAAGCCAACGAAACTCGGCTGGTATCTTTTATGTTACACGCATACAATGGTACCCAATGTCCCTGCAATGAAATATGTCCTCTTTTTAACATTTTAATCGCATTTCTTCCGAGTTTCCTGGTGAGATGTAGACGTACGATTAACAAAAGGTGAGAATGTGAATCAACTGCTTGTCTCTCTTAATGATCAAACATTGTGTCCCCTTCGCCGCTTAACCTTTTTTTTTTTTTCTTTCTTTCTTCGTAATGGGCATTCTTCTCGTATGCCATACTTTATTGTCGAAAGGATCGACTTTCGTATGTTAAAAAGCCCTCTTTAAAATATTATTCACGCGATTGTTAATTAAGTAATCTCGGTCGATTGCGTGTCGCGGAGATCGCGCTTACAATTTGAAATCTAAGCAGAATTTCAGCTTTGTTTAATGATTAAATTTAAAAAGTACGATAATTAAACTTTTAAAATATTCCTTTAATTACTACGCTATTTNCACGAAAGTATGCATACTTACATGTGCAAAGATTGTTTTCACAGCAAAACTGAAGATCTTCGTTGCTCAGAATGTCAAGTCAAATTTGAAAGTATTTCGGAACTAGAGAAACATAAACTTACTCATAAGAAAACATATCAGTGTATTAAATGTCAAATGTCTTTTGAAACCGAAGGAGAGATTCAGTTACACGTTGCGACTCACGTTCTTCAAGAAGGAACCAATCACGAATGCAATCTGTGCCACAAAGTTTTCGATTCTCCAGCCAAACTGCAGTGTCATTTGATAGAACACACGTTCGAAGGATGCTCCAGTTATGCGTGTTACATTTGCAGTTCGGTCTTTACCACACCTCATCTCATCCAATCACACATGTTAGATCACGGACTCAATTCACGACCTTACGATTGCAGCCAATGCCATCAAAGATTCTTTTTTCGTGCAGAATTAGAACATCACGGGATAGCACATAGTCACTGTAATCAATTGCAGTGTCCCGAATGTAACAAAGTCTTTGCAAATTTTGTCAATCTAAACAATCATCGAAAAATTCACGAACAAAAAGGAGGAACTTTGAAGTGCTCTTTATGTCCGGAAGTGTTCTACACGTCGGCCGATATGCAGCAACATCACTTCAGGTGTCACAGCGATACTGATCTTCACGAAGGAAAGAAGTATTTCCCGTGTACGGAATGTGAAAAAGTATTCCCTTGTATGAGCAATCTTCAAGGTCATATGAGAATCCATACGCAGGGAACTAAATTCATTTGCCCACAATGTAATAAAGAATTTGCTCTTTCGAGGAATCTCAATATCCACATGCGATCCCACAGTGGAGAAAAACCTTACGAATGTCCAATCTGTAAGAAACGATTTGCCAGAAAGGAAAACAGAAAAGCTCATTTAAAATCGCACACGGGTCTTAAACCGTTCATGTGTCCTCATTGCGGAAAAACCTTTTCCAGAAAATGTCACGTGAAAGAACACATGAGGATTCACATAACTTCCACTACTCATCCATGCGAAATGTGCAGTGAAACATTTTCTTCCACACGACAATTGAGACGACATATGGTGAATGCTCATCAAAAACATTACGATCACGTGTGTACCGTCTGCGGGGACGTATTCGAACACGCCAAGAGCCTCGATCATCATCTCCAAAAAGCTCATCAAGTACTGACAACATGCGTGGAAGACAATTCGTTAGAGGAGATGTCGGAGTCATCGCCGGGTCAAAGTTCGTCTTCTGGTGACTTGAAAGATCTAGAAAGTAGCGAATGCAGTAGTATGTTAGAAGAAGGAGCGGAGTCACCCGTTTCTGTCACTGATGATAGTGTAGTACCCCCGGCCGAGGCGTCCAGTTAAATGTCACCAAAGCGATCATCACCAGCTGCCTTGTGTCTCTTTTTTGTTGTATATATATATATATATAAAAATATATATAAATATAACTATTTATACACTAGGTGTATATAGAACGGTTTACAAAAAAAAAGGGCTTCCTCATCGTCGTTTATGGAATTTTTTATTTATGTATTTATTTTGGAGAATTATAAACGCGATGTTATGGAAGATAACTAAGAAAACCCCCCTCGTGTGCACCATTTTTACCCAACTGCACTGTTCGTGTTAAAAACACACACACAAACACACAAAAAAAGCCTCGATACTGTTTGCAAATTTTAAACATTTATGAGAATGTTTCTATATCCAGTCTGTTGCGTATCGTTGCAAAACACACTTTAATTTATTCGGCCCTCAATAAAATGTTGAAAGATCGAGTTGAAAGTCAAAATGTTAAATTGTCAAATGGACGATAATCTCTTTCGAACCTCTTAACACGGGAATATGGTTTTTATCTTCGATTCTATCTTTTCAATCAACCAAAAAAATTGGAATCACATTCCTTAATTTTGATCGAAAATGTAAATGTTTAATGGTTTTTATATATTTTACAGAGGGTCCAAGAAAAGAATGTGTACAATTTTTAAACCTGTTCGGAAGAATAAATTCAAGTTTTCAGAAATTCCAGTTTTGATTTCTTTTCTACACAGGAGGATCTTGTGTTGGCTTGAGATTTCTTAATTTTAACAAAGAAATTTATATTCTATTGCTTATATAACTACAAGTCGACCCCCCTATAACGCTGTTGATAATTCCGTTTTATATGAATTCCATGTTGTACGAGTCATTTAAATTTTACAAATACGTGAACCGTTCACAGCCCAGCACACATATTTGTAAAATCTAAGTGACTCGTATAACATGGAATTCATATAAAATGGAATTATCAACAGTGTTATAGGGGGGTCGACTTTGTACATTCTTTACGTTGTATGAAACTCCCTAAAAGTTGAATCCTCCGGGCCTTATTAGTACTTGTACACGCCTTTCTAACGCGAAAAAAAAAATTTGAAAGATTAAAATCTATATTTTTATACCATTCACGTAGCTCATTTGATGTTAAATTATATAAAGTAATAATTACGTGAAGTATTATATATATATATATATTTCCTTTTAGTAGAATGTCCGACATAGCTGGAAGGATAAAACATTTGGTATCATCACGTTAACTCATCGTCTAGTCACGTTTGTCTAATATTTAAAACTGCCTTTTTGTAGTCCAATTGTAAGAAGTAAGCCAACGAAACTCGGCTGGTATCTTTTATGTTACACGCATACAATGGTACCCAATGTCCCTGCAATGAAATATGTCCTCTTTTTAACATTTTAATCGCATTTCTTCCGAGTTTCCTGGTGAGATGTAGACGTACGATTAACAAAAGGTGAGAATGTGAATCAACTGCTTGTCTCTCTTAATGATCAAACATTGTGTCCCCTTCGCCGCTTAACCTTTTTTTTTTTTTCTTTCTTTCTTCGTAATGGGCATTCTTCTCGTATGCCATACTTTATTGTCGAAAGGATCGACTTTCGTATGTTAAAAAGCCCTCTTTAAAATATTATTCACGCGATTGTTAATTAAGTAATCTCGGTCGATTGCGTGTCGCGGAGATCGCGCTTACAATTTGAAATCTAAGCAGAATTTCAGCTTTGTTTAATGATTAAATTTAAAAAGTACGATAATTAAACTTTTAAAATATTCCTTTAATTACTAATTAGAAAATTTTAAAACTGAATAAATAAATTATTTTATTAACACAAGTTCAAAAAGTTTGTAAACACGTTCGTCGCGACGACGAGCGCGTCGTCGTCGTCGTCGTCGTCGTCGTCGCGTCGCTTGTCGTTCTCTTTAAATAATAAACATTTTAAATTAAATATAAAATAAATTAAATTCTATTTAAAAGTAAATATTTATTATATAACAAATAGAAACAGATAACGTTTGATAAGGAGTTTATATAAAAGATAAGTGCGGTGCGAAGCGACGATGCGTCAACGAGTCACTCGATAATAACAACCGACTATAAACGTAATTAAAGCAAATATTATGAGCCTTAAAATTGTATACTTTGTTTATGAGAATTTCTTTTCTAAACAATAAACGAATAATCTTATAAGTTCTCGTATTTGTAACAATTAAGGAAAACTAAATAGGTTAACCCACATCCCGAAGCTATGTCTACGTTTTCCATTAATTAAAACTGGCAAAAGAAACTATTAAACCGGAAAATAAATTAAATAAATAAAAAAGTGGGGATAAGAATGTCAAAATCTTTTATAAAAACAAATTGTTTCATCCAGAAAAATCGAAATAAATTACTAATTTAGATTGAAAAGTCGACAAATTATCCCACGAAATTCTAATATAAAATGTATTTAATTTCTTAACGATAGATGGAGACACTAACTTCAATGGGTTTTTCCACCCTTTGTTACGTCAAACTTTTTTTCTTTTTTAAATGGTTTTTGCAATGTTTAATGGCGAATTTTTCTGTTTTAATTAAACATAAAAATNATTCTCTCTCATTTTCTACCAAATATTTTTTTTACAATTTTAACAAAAATAATTACAGTCGACCCCCCTATAACACTGTTGATTATTCCGTTTTATATGAATTCCATGTTGTACGAGTCACTTAGATCTTACAAATACGTGAGCCGTTCACAGCCCAGCACACGTATTTGTAAAATCTATGTGACTCGTACAACATGGAATTCATATAAAACGGAATAATCAACAGTGTTATAGGGGGGTCGACTGTAATTATTTTTGTTAAAATTGTAAAAAAAATATTTGGTAGAAAATGAGAGAGAATTGTAGAAGCAAACGTTCTTGTAAATATCTGTAGAATTTGCAAGAAATTTATCGATTTAACTCTGTCAAGTTATGTAAAGTAGAGGCGAAGATCTGAAATCAATATATATAAATCAACGACCGTGTCTGTTATGGATGTAGCAGACAAGATGATATTTACGTATATGTTTCGAAAATTAAAAGAGATATGATGGAAAAAACTATGAAAAATCTTTCATACCAGGAAATATTCCTTTTTATTTTTCTTCTTTCTTTTCTATGGTAGAATCACATAAATATTTTTAAATCTTCCTTAAAACGTTTCAAACATTAGTGGAGTAAATAGCTTATTTTTATTGATTTTTTTATAAAGAAAATAATAATAATTATTATTTTTTAAATACAAATTTAAACCTTTTAAATCGAGGAACTTTAAACCGAGGAACAAAATAACTTCCGTGGCCATTGTTCGGAGGTTTGTGCTGAGTATTGTATTATTAAATGTCAATAATTCTTAATATAATGCGAGGAAATTTTTGTTATAATCTTTAAATTTTAACTTTCAAATTTATCGCACGATAATATTTGATTTATTCCATTAATTATTAAATTAATATATTTAGAAAATGGATAAAAGTGAGTGAGAAATATATCTCTAAAATTAATAAAATAAATCCATAAATAATTTATATAGCCTATAAACCTCTATATATAATTACTTATAAATAATTATAATGTATTACGAAGCTTCTATCGCTAAATTTATCTATTATTTTATAAATTTTACACACGAAAATAAGCAGTAATTACACTAATTAAGTATTGTTTAATAGGAAAATAGAGGTTAGCGATTATTATGAAAGAATCCCCCTTTTAAATTTATTTACTTAATATTGCCTGAAACTGTTTATTATTTTTTTTATCTTTAATCTAAAATATAGTCTACACAATACAGTCGACCCCCCTATAACACTGTTGATAATTCCGTTTTATATGAATTCCATGTTGTACGAGTCACATAGATTTTACAAATACGTGAGCCGGGCTGTGTATTTGTAAAATCTAAGTGACTCGTACAACATGGAATTCATATAAAACGGAATAATCAACAGTGTTATAGGGGGGGTCGACTGTAGTCTATTGGATTACCATCAAACTTCTAATGTAAATAAAATGTAAATCTTGAGAAATTTCAAGGCTTAAAACTGTTTTTTTCTTCTTTAAGAGTTTATTGAATTCGTGCAATGAAGTGAACCATTAATTTTGGTTAATGCGAAGAGAAATTGATCTATCGATGCCCGCGATGTTCAATATGAGATTAAGGTTATGGAAGTGGATTAAATTGATATAATACATGGATTAAAGCAATATTGCTCTATCAGATCTACTATTAAGTTTTAAATATGAAGCCATTATTTCATCATTTATACAATTTCGTGAGGATACAAAAAAGAAGTTTTTTTTTTTTTTTTTTTTTTTTTAAATAAGTATTTGGTCTTTTTATTCCATAATAAATTGTTAATAGTGTAATTTTCAAGTGCCGAAAGCGTTGTATAATTTTCCTTTCTCATTAAAAATATAATAGAAAAAACGTTATAAAAATTAATTTTTAAATAAAGGATTTCAGTAATTAAGATTTTACGCCGCTTCTAAATTAAATAATGGATTATATCAAAGGAGAACTGAAGAAATAAACAATAAAGATTGGATAGGCCCCGTGAGATGTATACAGAAGTAGAGGGATGGGAATCGATTCCGGACTCTCCTAATCTTGTGATTCGGCTATTTAACTACATAATGTAATTCCAAAATTATTAATGTTAATTGTAATGATTATAAATAATTAAAAATAATTTAATTTTTAATTTTAATTATAAATAAAATAAAGCGAAAAAAAGATTCTAAAATTACAAAGACAAAATGAGTTTTAATAATATATTAATGTAAATTTAAAATGAAAAAAAATATATTGTTCATTGAATTAAATTTATTATAAATATTTTATTATTTATTTTTAAAATTCAAAATTATTAATCAAATATAATGATATTTAATTCTTTCAATTTTAAAAATACAGTAATAATAACTAATATAAATACGAAAATGCTGTTTTATATTATCGACTTGATCATTATTTCTTGCCGGCAGGAGTCGTTGTGTAGGCCGACTAGAATCTGTTCGTGGTTCCACGTGTTTGTGGTTAGTCAATTTTATTTACTTTATCATTATTTTTTTCTATGAATACCGAAAATGGGAAAGACAAAACAGAGGAGAAAAACACATCGTAACCGTCCTACTGGTTTACCCAGTGTCAAAGAAGCAGAAACGGATGAATTATTGGAAGAATCTCCTAGTAAATACCAGACCCTAATCGAGAAAGTAAGCTTTATTATTAATATTGTTTCAATAGTTCAATTTTTTTCTATTTATTTATTTGTTTATGATAATTTATGCATTTAATTTATATATGTTACGAACTTGTGGAACGATAAGGTTTTCTCGCTGCTGGATACTGTTAGCAGTTTTCTAGGGTGTAGCTAACATTTACAATAACATTTACATTCAGAATCAAGGAAAAGGAGGTTTAAAACTGATTGATTATTTTTAAAAAAATTATTTATTTTTTGCGATGTTATATTGGCATGTTATTAAAATTACTCTATTCAAAGCTTGATTCTACAATGAAATATTAAAAACAGGCAAAACTGGGATGGTCCCCGGAAATTTGGGATGTCTGGTCACACTATTGTAGGCAATTCCCATGCGAGCAAAAATAAAAGGAATTGTAGTTGTAAAAAGGACTTTTCAGAATGTAGTACTTGAAAATTAGAATGTACAATGTTAAATGATTCAAAAATTGATGAAAAATTTAAAATCAAAAGTATTAGAACAATATCCTAAAACATTGTTTTCTTTTTTAGAAGAGCCCACCAGTGGCCAAATGGTCTTTGTACCCTGAACACTGGGAGTTCAGTCGTGGGTTTGTGCCTTTCTCGGACGGGCTGGCCACGTGGAGATTTCCAGGTTTTCTCCATGTCTGCAATGCCTAAATAGGGGCCAGTTACTCTTAAAAAGACCTGGAAGGCATACCCCTAGACAGATCACCCGTGTATTGCGTTGCTATAACTTATATAACAAACTTATAACAACCTATAACTGCTATAACTTATAACAAACAAACAAACAAAACTTTTAGAAGAGGGGACTAAAAATACTTGAGGTTATTTGCTGACATGTATTAGTCCACAAGATTGATTTCTTCATTGTCAATACAGAATCAATCTTATAAGTTAGCAGTATTCTGAAACTATGTGACATCATTGTAATAAAATTAAATAGTTTATTAATATATATAATATCCAGATTATAAAATTCTTTCTGATAAATAATTGAGGAAAAAAACCCTGAAAAAACTAACTTCTGTTCTTCAACAAACAGAAACAATCTAAAAGTTATTATCATTTTTTTTGACATATCTACCCCAAACCAGAAAAAATCATAATAAAAAAATTTAGAAGTTGAAAATCTTTTGAAGGATTACTTTTGAACAAGTAATTTTTTTTTAAAACTCTTTATTCTATGAGTTTGAAGAGTATCATTCTTCATGTCTACCATGGGTTCAGCTAGAGCCATTATTTAGGATGGCTACATGATGAGGAATGGAACCAACATATCTAGGACAGACTGTCTATGAAAAATTCCAAGGTTACAATCCAAGAAATTGATGAAAAATATATCAAGCTAACAACATCATAGATATAACATAGATAAGAGAGATAAGATTTGGAGATCATTCATATAGATGTACAGTAAGACCCTGCTTAATGCTAGGAACGGGGAATGCGTTCCTAGATGACAAAGCACTAAATGAAACAGCATTAATGCTGTTTCGTTTAGCACTTTGGTTATTTTAACAAAATCATTTTAACATAGAGTAAATAGGATAGGGAAACACGTGACCAAAAATAGAAAAATTTTACTTTAATTTTAAGTTATTTTTATATTAACTTGTATAATAATATATGTTAAATAACACATAAACATATGCACACAGAAATGTATAATAATAATATTAATTTGTTCATTTTTTCTATATTAATAGTTCATTTTTTGTGACAAAGGTAATGACTTTTCTGAAATTCTTGTTTTTTTTTTTTTTTGCAATAAAGTTGTGAAGTTTCATTTGTTGCTTTTTTCTTTCCATAAGCAAATGTTGGTAGTAGAAGATTGCATCCAAAATGCCTTGTTTTGCTTTTGCATTCCGTTCAAAATCTAGATCATTTGCTACAATTTGATCAACAATTTCGGTTATTGTTATCAAAGTTTTACTAAGGAAATCTGTAGAGAAATTTTTTTGGTTCTTTGTTTTCAGAATCATTATTTTCCAGTTCTACATGGATTCATTGTTCTGCCAGTTCTTGAAGGTCGTCTTGATAAGACTGTCACCAGAAACCTGTGGTAACTTCTTAATATCCTGCTCGTCTATATCTCCCAGTCCTGCTATATCTATTAGGTTGAGTTTGATCAGCCTAACGATACAGTGATAGGCTCTTCTTGTTGAGAATTCTTGGGTACCTTCAGCCATAACTTCTTCCACACTTCATTTGTGCATTTATCAGTTAATTCTTGCCAAGCCAAGCTGATATTGCCTATAGCATCCATGATGTTATATTTTTTCCAAAATTGCACCAAACAAACATAGATTTAAAGAAAGTACGCCTTTTTGCCACTTTTTTCTGATTAGTTCGTGTTTGTAAATAATCGTCTTATGTACGAATCTATAAAATTCTGCAATAATTTAAATGGGTGTAAATTTTGAGTTTTTTTTAGGTTTCAAGCAGTCAGCATTATATTGAATCAGTGTTAAGCAGGGTCTTACTGTATAATATAATTAACCATTCAATGCATGCATTTTTACTACTTCACTATAAGATTTAGAAGAAAAAATTTCTTTGAATGACATGGTTTTGTCAAATTTTGACAGGTAAAGTTAAAAGATAAATCTCAATAAAAATTATTTAAGTTTTTAATCTAAAATTTGATAAATTGTGGATAGATAACTTTTTGCTATCCCTGATACATCATAAATAATAAATGCTTTGAGTAGGTTCTGAAATTGGAAGTTTTTAAAATGTTTATTGCATCAGAGGATTAAAAACTTTATACAGTAAATAATAGACAATGCTTTTATTACAGTATTAAATTTCATGAATAGTGGAATCAGAATATAATTCTGATGACAGCATACCTCAGGTTTAATTTCAAGAATTTATTATTTTAATGTTTTAATGTTAAGTACTTTTAAGAGATTAATCTTACATACATACATACATTATAGATTATAGTCAGAGTCAAAAGTGAACATACACTGTTAATTTTCAAGAATTATGTCATGACAAATAAATTTATTTATGAGAAATGAAATAATTATCTTATATAAAATCATTTATACTTCAACAAACATCTCATGTTCAAATATTTTACAAAATTGTAAACTAAATTTTAAAAAAATTTTTGTTTTTAACAAGAAAAATTGACTCAAAAGTCTGTGCACACTTGAAATTAACAGAAAATTGACAAACTTTGTCATCATAAAACTCAACAATTAATATTTTGTTGATCCACTATGACTGCTTTTAACCTTGGTATAGAATGCACTTGTGTTTTTTTTTTTTCGTTTTGAAAAACTGTAAACTGTAAAATCTGTAACTACATAGAATTCCACACCTTATTCAGTACTTTATTTCAGCAATTCTTTGCTTGTAAAATTTTCATTTCTCAATTTATACTTCACTATTTCTAATAGTATATTGATGCTCCTTAATCCTCATTTTGAGGCATCGAACAATGGCTCCAATATATTTGCACAGACAATTCACCCTGTGATCATGTACAGGGATAGTATAGATTCTTGGCTTTGCAGCTCCTCTTCAATGGGTCCTTATTATTTCTGATACTCAAAAAACTGTAGATCTCCTGTAAGCAATCCTATTATTCATATAGTAGGATATTTCCCTGTAGATGTTAGCTAGCACCTTATTATATATAACGACTGAAAAGAAACTGTCTTATGATTATAAGAGTTCCATGGAATAAAGGTGTTGTTCCACCTGTAAAGATTTCTTGTTCCATCTATAAAGAGAGATCTTATATCTTATCATTGGAAGTCCTTATGAATATTGACAGCTCTTGAAAGTAGAACTTGATCTCAGGAAACAATGAAAAGTAGATTATTCTCAGGAAACAATGAAGCAATAAACTAATAGACTTTAATATATTGAATAAAATAGAAACATGGAATTATCTATGAAATATAGCAATGGGAATAAATTTGAATAAAAACTTTAAAATCTTTTCTTTCGTGAAACATTTGAGATAGCTTTGCGGAACACTGGTTAAAGAACCACTGCTCTTCATGATCACAGGATAAACTGTCTGTGCGAATATATTGGAGCCACTGCTAACTCTGACAACCTGAAACATCTGGAACAATTAGAAATATTCAAGGCCTTTGAAAAGGGTACAGCAGTCAATTATAAGGAAATGGACTCTCTTGCAACTCTATGGAGGGTATACTATGACCTCCCATAAGTCTCGAATTAGTACTTTATGTTTTGTAAAATTCTCTTTTTTTAAATGGTTACTTAACATATTATCTAGTTTGAAGCATAATGTTAAATGCTGCATTAGACACGTGTGTATTTTATGATGTACAGTATACAACTTTTAAATTTCTATTCTATTTAAAAAAAAATTCATTTATTTATATATGTTTATCAAACCTGAGGATGATCGTTTAAAACGGAAGAAAACATTTGTTCTTGTTTTATTTTATTTTTGCTGGTTTATTGGTATTTATATCTAGTTGAGGTTATTTATATTGTTTGTTTAGTTAAATTATGGCAATGCAAAGCTTGGGTGATCTTCCTAGGGTGATGCCTTCCAGGAGGTCTTTTTAAGGGTAACTGGCCCCTATTCAGGTGTTACAGACATGGAGAAAACCTGGAAAACTCTATATGGCCAGCCCATCCTGGCATGGCGCAAACCCATGACTGAACTCCCAGTGTCAGGGAACGGAACCACTTGGCCATTGGTGGACCTATTTATATTAATTTATACCAATAGTTTCATAGAGATTGTAGTAGTATGAATTTTTTTGATACTGATCAATGAGTAAGGTCTTGATGATGGCCTTTTAAAAAGATCAAAAATTCTTATGCTAAAAATTTGAGCTGGCCAGTAAAATTTTGGATTATTTGATACTGTTAACTAATTTGTGGCTTATTTTGAATTTGTGAAGTAAACTTAATTAAGCTTTAGTTGATTTAAAATTCAGGTTTCTTGTATTACCTATATGTATAATTTCTCATTATGTTTTA